CATTCCTCCCACAACAAAGTATTAAAAAGCTATTATGAAAGCCTTCTAAAAGACAAATATTTATAAAACTTCAGAATGTTTTCTGAAAAATGACATCAGCCTCTCACAGGAAACTGGACGATAATCTGTTCTGTATTATGGAGTCTTTCATCTGCTTAAGGGGCCTGCCTCTTAATTACCTGATGGAAGAACAGTTTTGAAGCTAAACTGGTATAACTGAGAGGCAGTCATAGGTAGTAGATGCCCCTAAACTTTTGTCAAGTCATCTGTCACATTCAACAGAATTATTGCAGATTCTACACCAGTGGAAATATTGAAATGTTCATGGAAATTCTTGAACCCACAGCCTGAAGTTACACACAGACTGGCTGTTCTCCCAGTTATCCATTAACTCCAGTACAGTAACACTGTGCAGAGTTTTATTTTTTTTGAAACTGCAAACAGTGATACAAGTCTGACAAAATCAGGTCTTCCCCTTTCACTTAAAGAGGCAAACCTTCAGTCAAGAAGCTAACTGCATAGCCAGAAGAAAAACAAACACTTTCTTGACTACAGAAACAACTAAAGTTTGTATTATGTCCATTTCCATAATGGAATCCAAGCACAAGGCTACTACTACTCTTCACCCTAGTTAACAGGGAATACACTTGCAGGTATAAGCATGTGGTACTATGCACAGCTGCCTGTTCACTTGCCAACAGATGAAAATCATAACAAAAGGCTGCTGTGTTTCTGGAGAGGTTTGTCTGTAATTCTGTGTACAGCTTTCCCATATATCTGAACAATACTTCAGTGCCACTTGGGCAGACAAAGTATCTACATAGCTCTTGATCCGGGTCAGGACAATTTCAAGGATCAACGCCATGACCTCTTGTGCTCTCCTGCAATACAGATATAATTCAACATTAAACCAACTACACTACTTCCTAGTAGGCTTTCCTAGGTATTCACCCTAGGTGGCACCTTTTAGTCAGCAATACTTGACTGAAATAAAAAATCTGTTAATTGCTAATCTAGCAAATAACTGCATCCTTTCTTGTGTTACAGCTGTTTTCTATCAGAGGTGGTGATTGTAACTCTTACTCCTGTTTGATACTAGTAAAATATATACGAACAGCAACTAAACCCCACACTTTTAACTATCTGCACCCTTTCTGAGAATGCAACAGATATGAACAGTGGCATCAATTTTAATTCCTCTAACTTTGAAATAGACAGCATTTTTACATCTGACAGTTACAATACACCCTAATTTTTGTCTCTGTGGTACCATTGCAATCCTACACTATTAAATTTCACTGATGTATAAAGAAATCACTATACTTCAGCACAAAGTTATCCAGCTGTACTAAATAAAATTGCATTAAAGATGTAATTCTGCTCCAAGCCCTTCTTTGGGCTGCCTTGGGCATTGTCTGGTGATAGGAGCTATTAGTTCTTATGCTGTTGAGTGCAAGAATTTGCATCTCTATAGAATTAATGAGTCAAAATCATTTTCCATATTGTTAAGCACATGCAGCAGCACTGAATTTACTCCACAGTACTTACTGTCTGGAAATCTAGGAAAGAAATTGTTTGTTTAACTGAAGAACCCCACTGCACCATAATGTGCAATGTATCCCCATTGTCAGGAGTTAATTCAAAGCCACCACATACAGAACTGTCTTTTCTACACAGATAGTTCTTTATACCAACAACCAAAAGTTTCAGTTTGAAGATGAGTGAATTATTTAGCAATTATTTACTTAGCTCCAGAAGTCTGTGATACTTGTAACCTGTCAGCACCATTTCTAATTAGTATTACACATTCCTGAAGTACTAATAAAAGGCTAAACAAGTAAAAAGCTGAGAACTTGCACAATTGGTCTTTTTTTTTAAGATGTGGGATACATTTTAACCTTCAAAATTTTTACCACAATACACACTTTACCCAAAATATCTAGACCAAAGAAAACAAAGATATTATGTTTATCTTAAAAGTGTGAAAGTACAAGACACAAGCCCCCTTAGTGCTCAGTACAAGCACAATCCTGTTGTGCATCCTCCTGCAAACACTAGTGCGCAAGTCCTGCTAAAGCTATCCTTGATATGAAGTAGTGTTTCTTCATACTGCCCCTACAGCTCTAGAAATAAGCTTTGTTACTAATTCAATGTTTAAATTTTTTTTTTGTGATATGATGAATTAAATTATACTCTCTCATATCATTAGCATAAGTCTTCTGGCTTGAAGGTTGGGTGGGGGTTTTCAGTTTGTGTTTGGTTTGGGTTGGGTTTTTTTAAGGATATAAAGTGTTGCATTGACATTCTGTGTGGTCTGAGTCCCTTTACAATCCAATGTCTTTTCAAAAGGCACATGAAGATTTGCCACCTTGTGAACTTTAACCTTAATTGACATCACAGGAGCACTCAAGGAGCTGTCGCACTGTACCCTACAAATATAACAACAGTACACACTATGAGGAAAATATATTGTAAAAACATGTATGAAAAATAATCATTACATGCTCAAGTCTGCTTTAAAGCTTTAATATCTCATCTATCTCCTTTCTTAAAGTGATTAAATTCTGATAGAACATAACTGAGGAAAATCAGTTTCAAATTATAGCTATGACAACAGATTTATAAGGAAACAAACAATTGTGCTTGTTCCTTATTACATTTCTGTGCTCAATTTTATTGCAGAGTTTCAAATGAATGCTAATCCTTTGGTCAAAAATTGCTCCACTAGAAATGCTAACTAATGTGTAAGTACAATCACCTTCAAGGATGCCTCACTCTCAAATTGATCTGTACTTAGGAAACAGCCTACCCACAGTTACATGTTTTTGAGAAGTACCCCTTTTAGCTGTGAAATAAAAGAAACCATCTGATATCAAGGTTACCCACAACTAAATTTCTCAACTGTTTTCAAACAACAGTTTTAAAAGAGTAATGAAAATGTAGAATAATGAAGATGTAGACAGAACAGCCAAAAACTGGTGGCATCATTACAAGCTTCTCCATAAAACTGTGTGTATTTGTTAATGATTGCTGAACATTCAGATGCCTGCTCTCATTTCCCTTAGTTACAACAGGAATCTATTATAATATCTTTCCATCCTACCTTTAATATTTTACCACTAGTAAAGGTGACTTTCTGGCAATTGCTACAGAACAAGCAAGTAGACTATCAAATTAATTTCACATTTTTGCTTTTTGGTAAAGGGGCAGATAAATAGTATACATAGGGGAGATAATATATAGTATATATAGGGGCAGACATAACAGTATGACAGCTTATACTGTTAACAGAAATACTATTTGCATAGAAAACGTGCGTGCTGCCATCACAGAGGGGGAAATAATCATGGATCTCATAATACCTTCAGGTACAGAAAAGAACACATTAGAGAGGAAGCACTCTTCCTTTAGAGGAACAAGAAAAGAGGAGAGGAAAGTAGCAGCTTGCAATATTGCAAATGTGCTGATGGAGACTAGTAAAGTGAAGGGATTAAAGAAACAACAGGACAGGAAGAAAGATCCCAAGACACTATCATTCTACAAACCCTCCAAAAAGAGGACTGAGCAGAAGGGTAGAACCCATTCCCCTTCCTGACCGGAGAAGAAGAACAGAAAACATCATGCAACTAGATAAATACAGAACACACATAAGAAGGATGACAAATATTTACCAGAAAACACAATTCAAAGCTATGAAGAAAGCAATAGCAAATAAAAGCAGGATAACAAGTTTAGAGTACCCTAACTCAAAGCGTAATGTTTACTTTTGAAAATTTTACCTTGTATTGTTTTTCCCAGCACTGTACCTACAGATAAATTCTAAGCAAAGCCATCATATAGTCACTCAGCAACAGCAAGACACCAAAGAAAAATAAGTACAACACTGCATACAACAGATGCACCTTCCCTTCTGTGTTTTTCAGAGACAAAGAATTTTTAAATTTTAAAATGCAATGCAAAAATGAGAACTTCATAGTACTAGCTGTAAGAAAATCATACAGTGTAAATCCACCTTTTTTTTTAACTGACTATAATTCTTAGTTCAGTTTCATTTTATTCTAAACCTTTTTACTTAAAGCAGCAATTCAGTACATTTGAGGAAAAAATAAGCACCAGAAGGCATTTCCTATGCCAGTTTAATAACATTAAATAGCTTACTATCACAATACGCTTGTAATTTATGCTGAACCCATTTTGCAAAGTCCTTCATTAAATGCAGATATACTGTACATTAAGCCAAGGGACATTTGTGTCCCAAGCAGATAGCCTACACAGTGTGTTATAATAACCTGCAAAGTAAATTGTGATCTCATTAGTTAAACTGTGCTTTCATACAGTATTAATATGCTGCACATTTAGCAGTTCTATAGTCCTCCCTCCCAGGACACAGACGAATCATATGGAAACCCTGCATTGTAATGTCTAGTACCATCACAGCTCCTAAGCAGTTCTATCTGTCAAAGTTCAAGTAGCTATGTTTATTACCCTTGTGAATCAGCATTACACTCTCATTACACCTGGGAATCTAAAGTTTTACCTGCAACACCCAGCTTTAGTTTTTCTGAGTACATAGTTGTAGCTTTGCAATTATCTTCCCCAATTAACTGATTATCAACTAACTTCCAAGGTTTCTCAGATTATGATTTTGCTAAAGAAAGCAGAACTTTTGCCTTCTCACTTGGGATCGTTAGGACTAAAAATTTAATTCTAATAACTAAAGAATGTAACATTTCATTTATAGCTTCTAAAAATCTTCTCAATTCATTGTTATGGCAGTTAATCACCTGATTGTCAGGATCTGACTTAAGCTTGTATTGCATTTTATTAATGACTTATCTTGAACCATACAAGGATTTTATTTCTTGCTTGTTTATATAAATAAACTAATACATTCAATGGGGTGGATCTCTGCTTTGGTCTTTTAGAAATTAGGTTTGTATAACACCACATGACAAACAAAACTTTAGGAAAGTACACAAAAAAAATCCCTCTCTTTTTACCTGTTTCAATTTCCCAAATATAAACCGAATTGTCCTCACATCCAACAATTAGCAGATTTTCAACAGGGTCAAATTTTATCTTCTTCACAGGAAACAGGTGCTTTCTGGCATGTAAGAGACATACTCTCTTCTGAAGGTGTAGAATTGCTACAGAGTGATCACTGCACACACAGCACACTATCCCATGGTCTTTTAACTGCAAAATAGAAAGAACTTCAGTTTCAACACTAAGCAATCACAACCACATCATTTTAACAAGCCTCATACAAGTTGCCCAGTGATTTCTTTCCCAGAACATACTCATTTTAGAAAGTGTTTTATTTCAGCCTGTATCTCCAACTTGCTTTTAACAGATTAAATGTACAACTGCTCTCCTGACAGGATCTCCCTTGTTTTTGCAATTAAAAGAAAGTATTGAAACACTTGACTCATAATACTTCACTTATCAAAGCAGCGATTATATAACCAAATATACAATAGCAGTTCTAGAAAAAAGATATTAAAAAGTTACTTTTAACCAAACTGCTGTTGATGTAACAAAATTATGTCAGGTCTTATGACACAAAAGACAAGAGTAATGTATTTCTAATGAAAAACTGGGTATGATATACCACATGGATCTGAAGGCTGAAAAGCCTTCCTTTCCATACCTGTAAGTAATTTTTGGTGACACGCAAAGGAATTCACCCTATGAAAAGATTCATCCCCGTAAAGAAAATTGAAACACCACCCAAGCAGGCATTAAATCCTACCTAGTTTTCAGAAAAAAAGGCTAAAGGAAGACTTACAAATATTAAGAAATGACACCATTGCAAAACCTCTCATGGACTATTTAATACTGGCATGTAAGTGAACTCCGAGTCAACCTTAAGTATCAAATATGATTTCACAGGCTTTCTAAGAGGAAAAAGATGAAATCCCTATCCCATGGAATTCAATGGGGACAGGATTTGTTCCACAAATTTTCATACTGCATTCACTACAATAAATCTAACATTTTCATACAAATTCCACTTAAAATATACACAATTATTCTGAATCTCATAAACCACAAAAAAAAAATATATGCAAAGGACCACAAGGATGTGTCAAGAACCAAAATCAACTATACACACTTAGATTAAAATACTATTGCTCCAAATCTTTCCTTACTATGTTCTAACCCCTAGCCTTACTGATTACACTTTTAAACTTCAGAAGTTCGGACATAATCAGATTAACATGTAGACTGATAATCATGATATTAAGAGCAGTGACTAGAATGTAAAGAGCTTCAATTTAACATGTCACAGGTTTGGGATCACTTTTCTTAATCACTGAAGTTAAACTCATAAGAAATCAACCTCCTGAAATTAAAAGCAACTTGCAAACAAGATAATTAATGAAATGTAAATTAAGGATAGAGTGATCAAGGATACAAGCATTGCCAAATGGTTTTTAACTTTATATACACACACATATCTGGAGATACTTTTTTCTGTTTGTTTTTTTTAGACATAACTTATTATGCTTTTACTTACTTTATAGTTTTCTGGAGATCGCAAAAGCTCTGTCACTGGACCAGCTTGCAGATTAAATTGGTGTAAGATGCCTCCAGTAAATATATCCCAGCAGATCACAACAGAATCCTGGCTCCCTGATAACAGCCAGCTTGGATCAAATCTTACTGATTTATCATGTGGATAAAGTAAACAAGTGATTCTGCTACTATGACCATTCAGAACCTTGTAAGGTGCATTATCTGAAACAAAGTGGTACATAAATTATTTCTGCTCTTTAAGAATAGGAGTTCTATATAGTATATTTCATAAAATGTCACAAGACTCAAAAGACTAAACACAACAATTCTTTACATGGGATCAAAGAATTTCAAACATGTTCTTAAAATGAGGATAACAGCCTGCACTTGGAGCTTTATTACTTAGTTGTACCCTTTTTATTCCTTCAGTAGAATGGTCTTATAGAGGGGTAAAAGACAAAGATGTCATGATATGGGCAGTAGTTGTTTCATATATCTCACTTCCAGGTGACTCCACCCCCACTCGATCCCCACAGCCATTCCAGGACTCCTAACAGAGCAAAGCACCTTAGTACTACTAAGCTGTGATCTAATAAATCAGTTAAAGGGGAAAGGAACATCCTCATCTTTCATTTTTCCCATTCAACCCCTGACCATCATCCCTATTTTTCAGAGGATTTTTACAGGGCTCACTGGAGGGCATATCAGAATTAAGCAGTCATCTGTGCTTGATTAAAATTAATTCAAACAAAATTCTTACAACTTACCTTTCAAAGATGTGTTTTCCAAAAGTCTTGCTCTTGCAGTGTTTAAACCCAGCGTTACAAAAATTTTCCCATTTTCACATCCACACACAAGCTTATCGAGACTGGGTATGTATACAGAGGAACTGACAACTGCACTTTCGATTCCATCTTTAGATGCACAAAGATGATCAATAATGCCCTCTGACTTTGAATGCTGTTTACCAAAATTATCCTGAAGACTCCATGTTGCTGTAATTGGGATCTCTAGAGGGTGTGGGAAGTAAGTCAGGGATTTTTTTTTTTTTATTCAAACCAAAATAAAAGTCCAACCAAAGCAAAATATTTGTCTCTTCATCACTTCCCCCAACTTATCCTTTCTGCAGCCTAGAGATAGAAAGTCGGTAGGTGCTATTCCAACACTAGATTATATCTCACAAAGCCCCTTCTTTTATACCTCCCTATGAAGAACAGTAAGCAAGAGCAACTAAGTAAATTTTCATGACACTTGATACAGAATCATTTATGGGCTCATAGCAAGGAAACAGAAACATTTTCTGTTCTGTGAAGAATTTCTAGGCACTCATCTTTGTTAGTGTTTTGCTCCTCCTAACTCCAGGCAATCATCACACAATGAATAAGTGAGCCTCACTTCCTAGTGTGAAAGTATTTTCATGAGAATTTAAGTTTTAATGAAAATTGACTTAAAGACATAGTTAAAATAGGGTATCAAGGGCACAGAATTGTCAAACCTTTTGGAGAACCATCAAATGTTGACACGGGGACATCAGGAACATGCCACAAAGTGATCCTTCCTGAAGCATCACCAGAAAAAAGAACCTTATAGAAAGGCTCCTTTCTTTCATTCATGAAGCCCATGACAAAAGAAAAACTCTGCCAAAAGAAACAGTAAATCAATATGCTGATACAAAGGAAAAATGTGGATACCAGGCATGTACGCTGGAAGTGAATGCTTAGCTTTGTGTTGGGGAGCTGTCTTGGAACACCAAATAAAAGTCCTTTTTGCACCAAAGTAAACTGGGAGAGGTGTGCAGGAGGATAAAAAACCCACAAGCAGATCCTTTATGGTAAATGATGTAGATGGCAGGTCATCAGCACAGGCTATTTTGTTCCACACATCACAGTTACTTCGTGTAGACACAGCTTAACTTTGCTCCTTCAAGATAGTGTATCAACATCCCCATATGATGGATATATTTTACAACATTGAAGTTTGTGAGTAAATTATACACTAGGCAATTCTACTGTAATGTGGTTAGGTTTATAATTTAAGAATGAAGATCAAAACTGATCATGACAGGCAGTTTTGTTGTCTCAAATCTGCTATGAAAAATATTCAGATAGGTAAATATAAAAGCAGAAATATTAGAAAAAGGGAGGTGAGATTACTTTAAAAAAGCACATGCTCTGGGGGAAGCATATGAGCTTCCTGACAACACCATAACCCTATTATTTGCTAAGCCATGTGTTTTGGCTATTTCTTTTCCCTCACGATATCTGACCTTTTGGCATCCTTCAGCGGTTATCCTATCTGATTTTAGATCACAGCATTTTGGGGAAAAGCTGAATCGCCTGTGCTATTGTCCTTCAACTGAAAATGAAATCTGTCAGGCTTTGCAAGAGTATGCAATAAAAATGCTTTCCAAGAGCCTGTATTTGTCAACAGAAAGAAAGAACGTTAGAAAATCTCACATATGTATTTGACAGTGTTTCTAGTCAGGTACCCTTGCATACCTTCAGAAACTGTTTAAAGACCTGCTTGAGCTCTCATGTCAATACATAAGCTAATGTAACTGCAAGCAGGAATTAAAGCCACATCTTTCAACAATTACTATTTCATAAACAGTATTAGCAATACAACTAAAAAATTACTTCAACCAGCCTTTCTATAGCTGAAAAGGCAGGATTTTTTTCCTCCGTGGAAAAAGTACACATTGCCAAGAATTAAGAAAAAAATATGCTATTAGTTTGCAAATGAAAAATTAAGAAAAGAGCAAGTCTTATTCAGTGATTTCATAGAACAATAAAATCTGTCAATGGACTCATTTTTTTAGGGACCACTCAGGTAACTGCAAACAAATAAGGACTGAACTTTCAAAGCTTACTCTAAACATTTGTCAATTTACCTTTTTTTCTTTCACATCAGTAAAGCAGAGTAAATGAGGATAAACAGTTTCTTTCAGCACCTTCCCATCAGCAGGATATGTGCTTTTAGAAAGCCCACTGCATTATTAAAAAAAAAAAAAAGGGCAAAAAAATAAAGCTTTAAAAAGTCATATATTTTAGAAAGCAGAACAGCAACATCCAAGATTCACAAGTTCAATTAAAAGTTACCAAATAAGTAATTACAAGCAACTTTTTGAAATCACAGCACCAGCTGCCCAAGTTCTACATGGCTAATCTTATTCCTATGTCCCCTGCTGTGTCAAACAAAGACTGAGGGCTGTCAAACTCAGGGTAAATCTTTGAGTGCCAAAGTGGTTTTGTTCTGGTTTTTGATCATTTGCAACATGCAGAGATTTTCCATAATAAACCTCCCAAAGTTCATCTTGTACCTGAACTTTTTGTGTGAATTTCCCATCTGAGCCCACCTGTTCAGCAGCTGGTAGATGTAACTGTGACCATCTTCTGTCCAGATGATAAGTCTGTAAGCTGCTAGTACTTCTCCACCAGCAAAGCACTGACCACTTCTACAGAACTCAGTACAAAGCAAGGAGAAATCACAGTAATCATAGACCTAAGCTCAGAAAAGAAATAAAACAACAAAATAATGAAATATAAACATTAGGCATTCATTTTAATTCAAGACTGTTTGAGGCAATGGGCAATAAGTAGAACTTGGCTCTTTGTAGTCTAACTCTTAAAGTCAAAGCAGTTTTCATACTTCAAACTGCCGCAAAATCAGAATCAAGCCTTACGCTTCTGAAATAAAGTGACAACAGAAAAAAAAACAGCATTAAAGCCTTCTGTTATAGTAGGTGATTTTGGATTGGGTTTACTTCCTTGCCTTGCATTTATTAATATTTACAGGAGTATTAATTTCTTAGAGAGAAGTAGGTAATGAATTTAGCACAAACATGACATGGAAGACTAATAGAAGCTATAAATGCTTCTATATTCTTGAAAAGAGGATCTGCTGGCATAATCAGCACACGTCTTAAAGAGATTCTTCTTTTTCTTTGGGAGCAACAGAGATTTTTCTTTTTCACAAATTAATTGAAAACAAACAACATAATTCCCTTTGCTTGCATGAATTCTTCCATTTCTAGAGCTGGTAAAAAGTTACAACTTGTTTACTTCCTCTAAAGTTCCCATTTTAAGATGAAACAGGAAATGACTAAGATAATCTAGGATATTGCCTGCTTGTTCACATTCCTAATGGCCTCACAGAGAAAGTAGTCATAGACACATTTCATTAATTTATTCCAGCAGTGAGAGGAACTAGGATTTTTTCTATGAATTATCCATAGCTTAGTTCTATTCATTACGTAATTTCTAGTTAATTTGCTTTGTATTTTCATTATTACAGAATTGGGTTAAGGAACCACTCTAAACACATATGAATGTCTCCTATGCTTACATACCTTTCTAATCATAATTTTTTAAAGCTGTTACTTCGTTGAAATATATGTTAAAAATCCAGCATTACTTATGTACCTATAACATTACCTTAAGATTAAAATGCATAATGGAGACAGCACAAGAAACATGCACTCCTTGTGGAAAAAGCATTACAGAAATTCATAGAAAGCAGTGCATGTTACACATATTTTTCCGTGAAACCCCTATCCATTGTATACGTGGAATTTCTTTATGAAAGCTTCTGTACAGACTTTTTAAATATCCCAAGAGAAGTCTCAAGGATGACCTACAAATGTATTATTCAAAGTTGAGGCAGGTGTATGTGGAATTTTCACCACCCCCCACCAGGAGTGGTGTTTGGATCAGGCAGATGTTGCACTAATAGCTCAGTATTATTTTTAAATCTAGGAAAAACAAACACAGTAATTTTAAAATAAAGTTCAGTTTAACTAAAACCTTAAATAAATCAGTAAAAGTTTCAGCAACTACATAATGCATTTATTTTCTTCCAGCTATAAAAAAGAGATACATTCCAGGGCACTTAGTTTTGCTGGCATCTATTAGTGGAATCCAGGCTATTGCTCTCGATGGAACAGAGGACCCTGGTCACTGAGAACTTGCAGACTGTGATTACTTCTGTCTTACAGAACTTACAACAGCTTTTGTGCACCTTTGGCTCCTTTTGAAATGCACTGTGGACAGGACTTTAACACACTCAGTGCTCTAAAACTGACTAATAACGTAAACCCCTTTCTACCCAATATCAAACTTCAAAACCAGACATGCATACAATAAGCAATCTCAGTCAGGCAGTTCGGACAGCAGAGAAGGGATGACAGTGAACAAATCTAAGCTGAGAAAAACAAGTATCTGCACATAAAAATTACATTAGCATTTCAAAGTTATTAATAACATTTAAGAGAAAGTATAATGCTCAATAATGTACCTGCCAGCATGTGGAGGACACAAGAAGAAGGAGCCTCTCTGTGTATGTACAAAACCGTACCGCTTGACAATTTACACAGTCCAGAGATTTTGATTCCTTCTCACAAACACTTTGTCTCTCCTTTACAGCACAGAGGAAGAAAGCCATAAGATTATTCTAGGTATTTGATCTTTTACTTTTAAGATAGAAACAAACCGTTGAAAATAACTTTATTATCAAGATCATGAATCTCAAAATTATGATATTTGAATAATTTTTATTAATTATAGATTAAATCACTGAAAACTAATGTTTTCTGCTTCAAAAAAATATCAACAGTATTTAAATCTCTCAAAAAGAGGTATGCTAGTCATGGAATTATGGCTATCAAACTGCAAAACATTCTTATTACCCCTTACAGCTCCAAGTAAATATAGCAATACTTACTCAAATACAGCACTTTAAAACAAAGTAGCTGGGTTGTTACTAACTCTGCACCCCTCCCTTCGCAAAAGAAGGCCCCAGGCAGTAAAAGGATGGCACGATACTGTGTATGCATCTCTGGTGTGTAACCTATTGCTAAGGTCCTCAATTTCTACAGTGTGACAGTATTTTTTACCCTAATAATGTTTAAAAGGCCCCCCAGAAACTTTGCAGGTAAACCAAAAATGCATCACGAAACCACTACTATGGTATCAAACCTGACAAGAGTCTGAGAAGCTCAATTCTACCCATTAACAAGTAGTACTGTGGCATGCTTTTCAGTTTGTCAAGTAAGGCAATAACTTATTATGGATGTTCAGAGAAGACTGTTGACATTTCACCATTTCTGTTGATGATTCATAGTGCTTCACTGTAATACTAAGTCCCTTTGTGAATACAGCTCTGGGTCTAATTCAAACACAAAACATTGTATTCCAATTCTAACATGTGTGCATGTCAAGTGACAGCTGCTGAGAATATTAACACAGAAAAGAATAACAGAGTTTGAAGATTGAGAAATAGGGCACTTGACACAGCAAGAGTCTTTTCCAAGTGAAGACAGCATTGTCAAATGCAGACAGAGGAAAACAAAGTCTAAAAGACCATTTTGAAAAAAGCAAGGAAGGTGAAGAGGGAGTACTAAGGCCAATTTTGAAGAGCTTTGAATTTAAAGGACAGAGTGAAGGGGTTCAGAAAAAGGAATGACATCAAGACAGCAGGAAAGCATTACAACTTCAGCATTGTGGAATATGGAAAGACAAGAAGCTTGGGCAAAAGACTGCAGTTGTCAAGGCAAAAGCTGTCCAAGAGCCCAACTACTTTAAAAATGCAAGGATGTGTTTTCATAATTTTGTTACAAAAATCATCTAATTCTGTTTAATACATACCCAGGAAATTCTAATTTACCTTCTGCTTCAAGGCATCCTTAACTTAAGATTACTACTATATTTATGTTTTCATATTGCTGTTTTACACCTCATACAAACTGACCTGTATGCTAGTCAAAGATGAAGATAGGTCCCACACTTTAACAGTTCCAGTTACAGACACTGCAACCAGTGAGTCTTCTGTGAAGAAGTAACAGTGAGATAGTCAACTTGGAACCAAGTTCAAGCAGTGTCTAATAAGAAAACAAAACTTTAGCATAGACAGTGCTCTAAAATGGATTCTGCAGGACACTTCAGATGAAATATTTCCACAAAAATAACTAATGGTATATAAAAATACACAACATGCAAGCAAAGAGTGAATATTTATTTTGTCCACTCAGATATATTTTAATAGAAGGCAAAGAATAGTGGGTTTGTGTCCTTTATTTTCCTGATATTACACAATTAATTTGTACATAAAACCAAGAAATGAGTTGCTTGTAACCAGTGTAGAGGCTGCTCATTTTTCTCCTTGAGAAACATTAAATAAAACATAACCAATATTAGGAGCATTAAAAACACCTTCTTAGGTGCTGCCAATGAAATGTTAACACGTACATAATGGCTTTGTAAAACATGACTGGATATTAAATCAGGTAGGATTGTTCTATCTGTACAGACATTTTATCACAAATACATCTAGCACACATACCTTGAATTCTTGCAGAGTGTACAATACACATACAATTTACCCAATCAGAAGACTGAGATGATGATAAAGTGTGAAGAACATCCAAACTCTTAGCATCAATAATAAGAACATCTTGATATTCTCCACAACAAAGAAGCCAGCCTTCACCTGTCATTCGGAATGAGCAATGGTAATACTGTACAAGTGGAAAGAAGAGAATCAGCATACAGAACTACAAATGTGCACATATTTTTCCAGTTAAGCATGTCATACTTTGAATTATAATCAACATTTGTAGCATTTACTAAAAATCTACTCCATATGTGAGGCCATATAAAATTTTCCTAGCGACACAAGCATTTCACATATTCAGCTGTATGCCTATACTAAATCATTATAATGTAAGAGATGCTTTGGACTGAGAGCGGATCTCAAATATTAGGATTTTTAGAAGCAATCAAGCTGCTACTTTGCATTATATACTGCTAAACAGTTTGGGACTTGTTTCTGGACAAATATTTGTTAAAGCTCTAGTTAAAGAAATAAAGATAAAAAAAACAGGTGAAAATGCAGAAGATTCATAATTATTTTTGTCATAACAAATTTTCCATTATTTTCTAGGAAGAATTTATATTCCACAAGATATTATTCATCTTGACATTAAGTGTCTTAGTGTTAAGATTCACTCTTTCTCAACAGTCACAAAGAAAAGGAAGAGACACAAAGTGCACAGCAGTGCAGACCAACTATGAAGACTCCTTCTCTGCTAGGTGCTTTGTATGTTTGCATTTTATGTAAAATCTATCCATATTTGTACACATAATTGCTATAAATGCCTAAGCAGCCACCTCAAATGGAATTTACAAGTCAATACTATCTTTAAAGGGAACAACTATGCAGTCAGGGGAAAACATCAGACAGACACACAACACTGTGCCTAGTTTACTAGAAGTTCTCTGTACATTCATGTTCTGCTTAAAAAAAAAATAATTCTTGGTTTATCAGTTAAGTAATTGAAGTCTGAAAACAAAAGCAGCATAAATAATGGGGAATGGGATAAGTACTACCGCAGATATGAATGACCAGAGGCAGAGGTGCTTAGCAATAGGAACAACTTGTAATTACTGTTCCTCTTAAATTAGGCTTGAAATGGAATATTTGTATTGTCAGTTAGTCCTCTGAGAAAATCCCACACTGATTAAGATCCAAAACGGTTAAGAGCTGACCCTGGTGTTAAACTTCATTTCAAATAGCAAATATTCAGTTTGCACTGCTTGACATCTGCCATTTATAGCTGAATCATCTACACTGAACAAAAGTAACCTACTAAACCAGACAGGCTCATTTAATTAAAACCTACTAAAACACCAACAAAAAAATAAAGCAACAATTTGAAACAGTGATACTATCAAAATCTGTGTGCACTAAGCCTCACAAACAACATTACATAGGAAGCAGTACTCTTTCAGTTACTATTATGCCACAGGCAACCATTTCCCATGGAACAGCAGAAAAAAAAAAAATCCTATAAAAACAACTCACAAGAAACACCCACACGCACACAAAAAAAACCCAAAATCCATTATAAATGTCTGAAGGTTGCATTTTAAAAGTATAGTTTCTCCTCCTAGAAACATCTATACCTTTTCCTAAGAAAGTTTTCTTTTTAGGTGTTCCTATTTTCCTCTAGCCATCTTCCTCAAGTTATACAACTAAAATCTTAATCTAGCCAAAATTAAATTTAGCTCGCATCTAATACAAAAGTAACAGTTTTCTAAAGTATTTGCCACTTCTATTTGAAGGGTAAGAATGAAGATTCTGCCTCTAATCTCCACAAAAATGCAGATTGTTAGATAATCACCCAGGCCAGGTCTGCCTACTTGGAAGCGGAACTCTGCCATAACTTTAACTATTGAAATCTAATTAAGCAATACCACAAAGCAGATCATACCACACCTCTACTATAATTGAAATATTTTACGTGTGTGTATACATACATGTAAAAAGATTATATAAGCTTAAACATATACATAAAAACTATTGAAGAATAAATTCTCTTGATTTTTATGTTTATACACACATCTATATGTGAAAATATATTAATAAATTCTTTTCTATAACTTTTATTTGGTAATTTACCCAAGCTTTTTCTCTTCCCTTCATCGTTAACAACTATGCTCGAACTCATCATGTCAACCAAAAGAGTGTCATGAAAAACAGTTTCTTCTTGAAACTTTAAAAAAATTCAGTTCTAAATTTGGCCATAGTTTACATCATTTAAGGTAAGGTAATTTAAGATTTCTACCATCTGGAGGCTTAGTTCTACCCTAGATTTCCCCACTGAAGACAGCCAGCATCTTAAGCAACCCAGAAGCCCTGAGCTGTTCTACTAATACATTCAGAAATAAGCCATCTCTCTGAATCAAATTCATACATGCGCGGCTCCTTAACCATACACATATGTATTTCAAACACAGCCTCAACAGTCCAGCATCTAGATATTTAGTGTACCTGGATATAGTTCCAAGCACACACTTGAAATTACATGAAGTAACATTCAAAGCAATTTGGCCTCTGAAAATAAGGATTCTGTCTCAAGTTCTACAATGAATGAAAGTGTATTTTTGGAAACGGGGCAGAGCAGTCTTTTGAAGGTCAGTAGTTAGCCATCAAAACCTTTTAAACTTTAAAAAATAAGATTTCCAGCATACTGTCTCACGTTTGGCTGAATTGCTTGTACTTCTAAAGTATGCCATAAAAATCTAACATAACATTTGAAGTTTCAACGCAATTTAAATAGAGGACAAGAGTAAAGATTAAGACAGTTTCACTTTGCTACCCAATGCCCAAACTTTACACTAAGTTAATTGATATTGCATTCCAAACATTTGAAGCTTAAAAAGAATCAGTTTGATTTAAGGAGTTCAGAGGAACATAAAAGTCTGAGCTCTTTTCTTAGGAGGAAGTCAAAAAAGGAAATGTAACAGATACAAACCTACTTCCATTACAAAAATTTTCTCCTATTAAATATGTTATGAGCTATACGTTTAAAATTGTACGTTTCTGAAAAATATCCCATTTATTAAGCAAAATTGCTCTTGTAATGAACAGAGAGAGCCCATGAAAAGTTGCTGTACTTACATGGATTGCTGTATGCCTATAAGGAAGCTTTGCGTTCTCAATGCACTGTCCACTAGTGACATTCCAAACACACATCTCCCTGCCAAAGATAACTTTATATTATTCTCTGTCATTTCTACTCAATTGGCTGGAATAATTTTGTGCCACCAAGTTGTTCTGTCGTGCTGTACTTAAGTACAGTCTGGTCCTTTATGTGACTTTTTGTTACAGATTACTGGGTAAGAAAATGTTGTAGTCATTAGTAAGAGATGACATACAGTATCTGTCTTTTTGTTTTGGTAATTACACCCTGCTGCCTTGCAACAAACCTGACTTTAAGGCCAACTCTAGTCTACAACAAATTGTAGGTATACTGCCATTACAGCACGTCAACATGTCACTGTAACTATCTGTCGTTGGAACTATATCCTCCTGAAAATGATTCATTTCACTGGACTTAAACCACACATCTTGAAACATAATGCATCTTCTGCAGCATTAGACCAGCTCCTAAGAGGAACCGCAACTTCTGTTAAAAAGAAACAGTGCCACCATGAGACTATTCCTGAAATCTGATAGCGGTACAGCACCACTTGTGTCTTGACAACCTAAATGCCTGTGCAACATTCTAGCTATACTTAGTTACATTAATGTTTGAAAAAGACAAATTAGCCAGGCTTCCTCATCTAGACATTATTCAATGTGCTGTGGGACTAGAGTACAACAGAAACAGTCAAATCAAATGTTGCAAATAAGGTTGCATGAGGTATGTTGTCATAGTTCAGCAATGTTAAACTTTGACGCTTTTAGATTTTGGACAGCAAGCATTATTACCACAGTTGACAATAATTTTATAATTTCAGAAATCACATTTCTGTATGAGGACTTAAAGAACACATCAGGGAAAAGATTTTATTGTATTAAAAATTCCACTTAGTCTTCTACATTTTAATCCACACACTTTCACATTTTATGATAATCTAAAAATATTAACTTACAGTTTTCAACTCAGCAAAAGCAGTAAAATCTATGTAGCATCATCATAATGCTTAGTGCAACATCAGCTTCAGTAGACCAAAATTCATAACTTAAACAGAACGCTTATGCTCTTTATTAAAGATTAAGGCAGTGAATTTCTCATCAGAACAATTAAATTTATTGCTTTAGCTATATTACTGTGATACATACATGCAAACATGCACAAATGAGACCAAAATATCAATTTCGCATTTTGCACTCTAAGGAATGCGTGTTATACTAACAAGGAATAAGTGATACCATATGTTGATAAACCTGTCCTACAGCATATGCTAAATACATAGTGAGACCTTCTGAATCACAATGAATTGATTTATAGGTCTCCATATAAAAACTACAGAAATACTGTTCAGTACTCATCCTTCTGGGACAAGACAGCTATACAAACACTTGAGATTCTGAAATGGGACGGGAGAAGAGTATGATCTTTTATACAGTTTCTTCCACCCTCAATACAAGGGAATGTAAGCTTGAAAATGGCAGAAGTGAATGATTCAAGGACAGGTTGGACAGAGCCTTGGTGACAGGGTTTAGTGTGAGGTGTCCCTACCCATGGAAGGGGGGTTGGAACTAGATGATCTTAAGGTCCTTTCCAACCCTAACTATTCTATGATTCACAAGCCAGAAAAGGCTGTTCAACAAACCCTGCCTCTCCTGAAGACAGGCTCCCTATTTGTAATTATCTCCACATCACAGCCTTTCAGGGATCAGTGATGGATGCTTTGCCCTTATATGCAATACAGCTGAAAAGTCCGCAGTAATTTGGTAAAAGTGAACATTTAAAGGGGCCAGAAGGCTGTCCAGTCCTACATACACACATTCCAAGGAAGCCTGATAATCCCTTCAGAGGCAGAATCTTTTGGAAGCGAATATCTCTGTTTATCTATAGCAAAAAATACCATTTGTTTCTTCACACTTTTCACCAGCGCTTTTTGGAAATACAGTATGCTATATATCTTAGTACAGATCTTATATATCTTAATACAGATCTGGAAACAGTACTACAGTAACAGAACTTCACAATTAAGATGAAAAATAGTTTTACCTCTGAGCCCTTGAGTAGAATTGAAGTAGGCCAGTACAAAACTAGTTTTGTAGACTTCTCACCCTCCTTTCTGCACATAACAACCAGAACTGTTTACCGCTATCTGCCCAGTGGGGCAGTCTAACCTCTGAAGATTAAGAAGACTGAACCAGTCTACTTAAGTTATCCCTTTCTTGCATACTTATGATTGAGAGAACCAGGCCAAGAACCTAGCAGCTGGAAAGTATAAGCTCCTCAGTGAGAAAGTAGTAGCCTTAAGATGCTAAAAGGTGTAGCTTGAAGAAGGGCAATTGACAGGAACTCTTCACCTGAAGAGGTTTTAACAGAGCTGTTAATTGGAAAAGAGGGACCCAAAATGAGAGGAGAACATCATTAAGCAGCCAGACAGAATTTTTGGAGGAAAGCGTTTAAGGAAGTAAAAAGCTCCTCTAACTACTTTCAGCTGCTGTAATCCTGAGCTGAAAACCCAGCTGAAAAGATTACCAAATATTCAGAGAGGGGAAAAAAGCCTTGCATGCTAACCTAGCAGAACTGCATAAATTTTTTTTGCCTGACATAATAAGCCAGTCACAACAAACACAGGAGAAAAGCTGCAAGATCTACCACTTAAAAGGATATACTCCAAAACAGCAAGGCAGATTAAAGCAAAGACAAGTAATATATATGCCTTTTATTCAAGGGCAGTTTACATGCCTCTATATGTAGCCAGTGAACAAGCACAACCTGGATCAGAGTACATTAACCTCTTCTACTTATTCAATTCTTAAGAGTGAACTTGGGAAGGAATACAAAAAAGAACCACGATATTAAAATGTTTTTGAATCTGCTGCTTCCCTCCAATAACCCATTATTCTCCATTTGAATGTGGCCTAGCTAACTCTCTGAACAATTCATTTTCCTGACTACTAACTGGACACCTGAATCTGCCAAACCATTTTGTCATCCAAGAGATGACCTCTTACTTAAGACTACTGTATATAGGCAACGCAATCATTATCCTAAGTAACTGATATCCTTTCCATATCACAGAAGTGGATTAAAAACCTTCTGCCAAATGCAGAATCTGACCTACACCTGCCACACATTTCATCATTTAAGAAATGAATAATTGAATATTCAGTTACCTACCCATTTTCAGTAGCACTTACTACATATGGTTGTTTCTCAAACTCTCTTGCTTTTGCCAAACAAGTTACAGAAGCAGTATGGCCGAAGAGAATTTCTTTAGATGAAATCTAGGAGAATAATACAATGGTTTAACATAATACTTTCAGTTTAATCAAAGGAGACATAAAAGCAAGAGAATACTACTTGGAGATGTCATTATTTATGAGTAATTCTCAATCTGCTTTGTTGTGTTTTTCTATCATATTTCTGGAATGCACAAAGATATGAATGGATTATCCAGTTTGTGTAAAGTTCTTCACTTCCTGAAGAATTCATGGAGTATCAAACATTGTAAAACAAGCAATAGGCAAAATATCTCTGCCCTTCACCCTACAACACGCAGCAAAAGTGGCAGAGTGAAGCAGACAACTGATACAGCAGAGCTCTTAAGCATGGGTTTCATAGAGCATGTTTAGTAATCCTTTTTATTAGCTTCACTGCATGCAAAGATCTTAATAAAATAAAGCTAGCTCCATAAAAGGGCAAACTAAAGTTTCAGGATATTTGTGAGCACAAATAGGACATCCAAATGCAAGGAGAACAGAACCATAGTCCTAGGAACACAGAATAAAAAACTGGACCTGCTTTGACTTTGTTACATTCTCAGGAAAATAAATATAAAATAAGCAAAGCAATGCCAATGATATGCTAGGGGCTTTGCCTCTTAATTACACTGCAAATACATATTTCATCTTACTTGTTCCATCTTTCTACAATTTTTTCCATTTCTAAACGTGGTAGAAAGCTCTGGTTTTATAAATAGATATTTTTTTTTTCCTTAAATGACAAGCCATGATCAACACCTGATTTAAAAAAGCTTTACAAGATAGGAATGGTGACATTCATATGTTTACTTGCTATCATCACTCACTTGTTATCATACACCATCTCAAATTATAATCCACAGGTCACAATAATACATGAAAATTTTTCTGAAGTCTGCAAATAACTGCTTATTTACACATTTCAACAGTTTTTGCTTCATGAACTACCTATAACAAATATCACATAATCTCTAAAATTTAAAGTGCAAGTCTGGATAATCCATTCTTAATAAAAGATAAAGCTCTACTCTGTAAATTTGGCAGACTGTAGCAAAGCAAACACAAACCTTTAATTCTGATGCAAGATCCCAGAAACATATTTGCCCTTCTTGACTTCCCGTAACTATAGTCTGCTGGTCATCTGTAATCATAATAGCAGTGATACTGTGAGAGGGAGCTATTTTCCCCCACACTGCCACAGCCTGTACTGATACCTTCATAGTCAGCACCTGAAAACAGAAACAAGTCACAATGATTAAGAAACATGAAGTGCAAGGAAAAAAGAAAAAAAAACAACAATCCAAAACTTAATGCAATTAAATCAACATCCAAAAAAGGGGAGCTACAAAATACTTATTGCTGCAAAAGAGTTAATGTGGCATTGAAGCATCACACAAACACTTTAAGACAACTATGTGCTAATAACTTACATATGCAAAACAGTGACATACCACTATTTTAAACTGAGGCATTCCTAAATAAGACCAGAGTTACCAGGAACTAGTACCACCACAATACTGAAATATCAGCAACAGAAATCATGTGCTACCCCACACAACCTGGCTTAGCTCTGATGGGCCCATGTCACAGTCATCATCTTCTTAATTTTGGTTGGTGAAATATGTACCATGCCTTCCCTATTCCCCGCAACCAGTAGTTCTGCTCATTCTCAGCAGCTAACTACCAGAGCATGGAGATGGCACAGGAACAGGGTGTCAATACAGAGGTCTGCAGTTCCTATACGGATAAGGCAAAAGAAACAGGTAATGAGCATGGAGGAGCAGGTGGTAGGTCAGGGAGGAAGAGAAAAAAAGTGAGGCCCAGGGCAGCAAAGCACTATTCCCTCAACATTCAATAGAATCTCCTAGAGAAAAGCCACAGAAGAAAGGTGGAGGCAGAGTTGCAAGCTGAGGAACAGGGAGAACAGACTCTTTCTGCTGCTCAACTCATGAATCTCTTGTGGGGGGGAAAGAAAGAAAACCAACAACCAAACAAACAAAAAGAAAATCCAAACATACCATATAATAGATTTCAGCCACTAGAGCAAAAATTTGCTTTAATAGAATTGTACAAAATGACTATTGGTCATTAGTTAATTCAATACAGATTCTTACAAACTCCACTTCCAGGAAACTATTTCAGCACATGTTCAAAAACCAGTACTTAGAAAACATCCTAAAATCCTTCTTATTAAAAAAAATATATCCTGCTTTGCTTGCTTTTAGACTTGATGCATGTTCCTTTTAAAAGCAGTTCTGCTTGTTAGCTGGATTCTGTACTTGTCCTGCTTCAAACAAAAGCCCTGAGAAAACTGCTTTCTCCCTCACAAGCCTTCTATCACATTGTTTACTGCTCAAATTCCCATGTTCATGAGCCTCAAACGTTTTTCTAGAGTATTTCCAATGATACCTTCAAAATAAAAAACAAAAAAACCAGTATCTGCCCATAAATAATGTGGCACTTTAAAATCGTATTTGTCCTGTTCAGACTTTTCAGGGGACCTTACCACACATCCAACAAATATGCCTCCTTTGGGTCAACTTAGGTGAAAGGATGGACTGCTTAAAACAGACACAGTTGAGCAATATCTTTAGCACATCTTTATCTTTTTATCTTTATAGCAGAGCCTTCCACTAAGGTGGCAGTGCTACCTTAGCCCAAGCAGTTTCCATACCTAGAAGTCACCTGTATCAAAACTCCCAAATTAACTGGAATATACAACAGCCTCCAGTACTCATTCCCTGCATCCTGTGACAACTCTTCTCTCCTTAATTTTCCTAGAAAATCTGCACAAATACTTCTGAAGCATCTTTGTCAACCTCCCTTCCCATTCAGTTTTCAGGAGAAAATGCCAGAAGATTGCTGTCACCTGCTCCTAACTGTTGTCAGGGAGGAAGGATATGAAGTTATAAGTCAGTCCTCTGAAAACTGAGTTTTCTTAAACTGTACTGAGGAAAGTTTTAACTACCACCAGTACATAGACAGCTGAAAATGAGCAACAAAAACGTTTGTATAACTCAAAGTTATTCTCAAGCATGAGCGAACAAGAAACGAATGTTAAGCCCTTCAGATGCACCATTCCCTAGGGTCATTTTAGTACTTCAGTTACTTTTCTCAAAATATTGTCTGTATGTCAGCTACTTGTTATTCAGACAGCATAATACCATTTAATAGATACCTCAGAGCCCCCACTAACCAAAATACACCTTTCAGAGGTGTGCTCCTATTTATCCTGAAGAAAGGGGACACAACAGACTCCTTAGCAAAAAAATATTTAAAACAAAACAGGTGCCAGAACAGCACAGTTGGGAGGGATCAGACAAGAGATATGACAGTAAAGCTGAAATCTTATCAGAGGAGGCAGGAAATGCATGGCAGCAGATAATAGACAGCCAAAGGAAGTAATCTAGGAACAATGCGAAGTGACATGAAAAGAAGTTCCTGTGATAATTCAGAAAAGACCACAGGATAGAAACAGAGCACAGAAGCAGCTTTTAAGCTTTGTTTAAAAAAGCCTGTAATACAAACCATCACTAAATCTAGCATGGTAGCAGCTAAAAGCAGGGACACGGACAAGAACTGTATCTGTTATTCCTAATAAAAGCCTTAAGTAACACAGAACTGAAGGAATGGTCTTGCTTTTTGACAAGTACACAAAACAAAGGGCTCAGCTCCTGAGAAAAAAGGGCTGAGAAGACTGGTATGGCAGAATATCAAGGTCCTGCCATACAACCTATACAACCTCAGCCAGAACAAAGGCTGAGAAAGAAGTGTCTAAGAGAAAATTAATTGAAATCAGCAGTTTATTAGGCTAAATCACATTTAGTTTCATTTTAAAGCTCTGTGGTTATCACACAAAATCCTGAGACATGTTATTGATCTCAGCTTTAAAATTTGACTTTTACAGAAGTTACTTTTTAAATCTCTAGTCACATGATGTATTATGCTTACTGGTGAACACTGATGTCCTTTTCTCTTCCAGTTTATACCCTGAAATCAAAGTTGTTCTAGCCAAACTCTAGTGATAGGCTTTCAAGTATCAGATAAGCAAAGAAAACTCAGTTTCTTACAAAACATCTTACAAAATGGTGGCTGCCCAGTTAACAGTTTGATAGGCTAAATACTGAGTCTTTCAAATGTGTTTCCTTGCATATCATGTAGTAATTTATACTTGTGCCTTGGGAGTGTTCAATTAGTGTAAAACACCATAAGACAGCAGAATTCAGATTTGTACTGCACTGAATATGAACTCATAAATCACATTTTCTTCTAAAAGCAGCATAGATTCAAGATCAATATTCTTAGCAGAAGGCCTACTGCTGAGCAAGTGATGAGTAAGAGAACTCAGACAACCAACAGAAGTTAAAATCTGGAACTGGTAGAATTTGCTAATGTATAGATGATCTATTTGTATGCATTTTAAATATCCATGAGTGTCATATTAAAAAAAAACAGCTACTAAAACATTGGTTATACATTTCAGTCTAATTCTCTTATAAGAGAAATAGAAAACAGAAGGTATGTGAACTTCCGTGTTAACATAACAGTACTTAACTTTTTTACTCTTGCTCCCTTGTTAACTCCTCTTTTGGATTAAGTTATTTTGATGCACAAGTACTTTGCATGAAAGTTTTAAGAATACCCTGACTTTCCGAGAAACACCACACACATGCAGGCATCTACATTTTGTCTGATGATACTTACCTTTATCAAAGCTATTTAGTAATACTGATGGCACCTAAAGCAAACTTTTTTAAATAAAAATCAACAGATACTTATCACACTGTTCCTTTAAAAAAAAAAAAAAGGTAAAAACTGCTTCCACAAAGTCAAATATTGCCCAAGGCATATGTGAGCTGCATGTTGCTTATCAGCACAAATTCTTCCAGCTCTGCACACTCAAGCATGTCTGATTTGCAGTATTAACCCCTCATGCAACTTCAAATCCAGTTCCTCAGTCCTGCTCCCCATTTCTCTCTGCTTAGAGCCCGACTTCTTTTTGACCTGCCCTTACGATAACACTGCTAAAAACTCATGACTAAAAACAAAAACACTGTTCCGAGTTAAAACCATGCCAATTCATCCCACCACTAACTTGCACCATCCTCTCTCTAGTTCTACAAGCACCTTTCACTCTGAAGTCACACCACAAAACTTCTTAACTTGGAAAATTATTCCAGTTTGCACTGCTTCATGGACTTTGGCTGTACTACATCAGCAACTTTGGACCATTTGCATAGTGTTAAATTTTCATTCAGAAGGCTAAGTATACCACCTCCTATTCTACAAAGGCCATGAGGTATTTTAAAGCAGCCAGAGCACAGGTCTGACCTTGAATGTCCTTCTAAGCACATAGTAATACAACGGGTTTTCCTCATCACTCAACTGTTTTGACTGGGACTGGTCACATTTTTGGATAGAGAGAATACCGTGATTTTTAAATGAGTTAAGAATACACCAGTTCTCACATACATAAAGGTTCTTAAAACTAGGAACTGAACTTCCCAGAAGCTTAACCTCAAACAGTTCACATCATAAAGCACTGGCAGTGACAAAAATCTCCTCCTCTTAGCTACAGCCCATAACAGAAGCTACCAAATTGGAATTTATAGTTCATTTATAGTAGAAAAAAAGTCATAAAACAAAAAGTCACTCTACAGGCAACAGTCAACCTGCCAAAAAAAGCTTTTCTGAGTTTATATTCATACTTATTTCATGCTTCTATACAATATAAGTTTTCTCAAGATCAGTTTGTCCAGGTCAATGTGTGGCAATCAGAGTGGGCACAAGAAGAGATGCAGAAATTGGCTTACAGTCCTGAAAATATTAAGAGATTAGCAGCATTTAACGGTTTGTATTGGATTAAAAATACAAATAATTAAAACAAAAGCACACCAACAAAAAGACAGATGGACCAAAGTGATCAAAACAATTATTGACAGCTTTAGGAGAACAGCATGTGTCTTCTCAGTCTAGCAAAATTGTACTGGTCAAGGTTTCAATGCTCTTGATGGACAAGTAAAATAAGAAGTTTCTTCCACACACACCCCTTTTTAGATTCATCATTGTAGTTACAAGCTAAAGTGTACAAACTAAATTTCAGGCAGAGCCTAGTAGGTTTTCATAACAAATTCAAAAGGTTCATTTGTTTGTAACCAATTTCATTCTCCTATTCCTGTCTATTCTTTGTTTTTTCTCTGACATACTTGCTCTTACCACCTATATAAGAAAATACAGGATTTAACAATATTTTTGTACTGTTGGTAAAAAGCTAATTAGTTTCCTAAAATAGCGTTGACTTGCAGTCTACTAATGATTACTGCTTTCTTAACTTTATCAACTTACTTTATGATGTAAATGCTGCACTCTCCTTAAAGATAATATATTTTTGCTGATTATCAGAGATATCTTTCCCTAACTAAAGTTATTCACCCATTGTTCACAATATATAGCAAATCCTTCTAAGAGGCATAAATAATATATTGCATTTACAAAATACTTGATAAAAGCATCTAAAGTACAAAATCTGAAGACAGAGAAGTGACAAAGTGCTGTCTTTGTAAGCCTGAAGATGTACCACATCCACACTCATGAAGCAGGTCACAGATCTGTATAAGTTGCTATCCAGAAATCCATTGCATCCATGAATCTGAAAACACAGGTCAACAATACTTTGCAATTTGTGAAGCAGCAGGGTAAGCACACATTTGTACAAGTATAAGCAGTGGAATAAATTAGAAAAGATAATGCTGAGAAAGATTCTTAACAGATAAATTGAAATAGAATGGAGATACAGGGCTACAGGGCAGATGGCAGGATGTGCAATTCAGGAAAAAGTGTATGAGGCTAGGTAAGTGAAGAGAGAATGATCAAAGAAACAATATTGAAGACAGCAAGACAAGACAAAGGGAAAAGATATTTGAAATAACTAATAGGAAAAAGTAAAATAGATTATCAAGATATTTTTAAAAGATAATTAAAAGCTAATTTGCATTTAGCACATCGCACAAGAAAACTAGTAATTGGCTCCTTTAAGATGCAGAATCAGCTCTCTGTAGGTACAGCAGCAAAAATATTTATGTATTTAAAATTTTTTTGTTAACATACCTAACCAGATAGCAGGCAAGAAGTAAAATACTTCAATCAACACTTATATACTATGGCTCTCTTCCTTGTGTTTTAATCCATCCTGCCAGAACCCTCAGTACTCCACACCTGTTTTCCATTCTACTTCCTTTTTTCGCAGCTCTACCCTGAGACACTCCCTGCCTGCTTGCCTACCACTGTGGTACCAGTTCAAGCTCATGGGACATCCCTGAAGACCTGTCAGGGCTACAGCCTAACCTGCCCAAGGACTCACTGCTGAGTGACATCCAGATCCCTCTTGGGGTGTGAATGTACTGCAATCCAAGGGAGCAAGAGGCTGGGACCAGGGATCAATACAACCCATTTTAACTAGCAAGAACCACCTAGTAATACCTTGTTTGTATTTCTTGAACGAGTGACACAAGAAACACTTATTTCATTCCACACAATAATTCACCACAATCAGAAAGAGCACAGTAAGGGCAACACCATCTCCCAGCTGCTGATTACATCAAAGGTTTGCAGCACAAATTCAATTTTATGATGTTAATCTCAGCCTGCCACTCAGAAATTTTCTCTGAGGGATATGATTTTTCTCTGGATTTCATTTTAAGAATGATTTTCTTCTTCTACAATCAATAAAGATATGTTTTCATCAAAAGACTCTATCTTGGCAGAATTCAATTGGCCATCTCAAAACCTTTTGGTTACACAATATTAATTAAAATAGTTTGTTTATGTTGCACCTAAGCTGGAAAACAGGGCAGTGAAAACTCAGCACACTTCTGCTTTGTGCAGTCCTAAGGTACAGTAGAATAAATCTTCACCTCCTTGAAGTTATCACTTTACCCCATTAACTGTTCATTATATTAAGCTTGCTAGAAAAGTGTCATGAGATGCTCTTTTGCTAAGTAGAAAAAATAAAGATGTGTGAAAAACTAGAAATTCCTACTTTTTTTCCACTGTTATTAAAGGCTTCTGCAACAACAATGATATAATAACTGTTTAAACGTTAAAAATTGATACATATGAGCTAGCTATCTTGGTTTTAAGTCAAAGGAAGGAAACTGCATATATTTGAAGTTCATGTGGAAAAAGCATTACAAGAGCTTGGAGCCATAAAAGATGTCTTTAAAGAAAGAACAAACACATTAAAGAAAAAGAAAACACAGTTGTTTTTACTGTCGGAAATTTTATGTCTGAATGTTTTACAAGGTACAAACATAGCTATCTACAGGAACAAGATGCTGCTTAAACACTATACAGAACTATATATATGTGAATTATATGCCACTTTCAAATCCTTAAGCATACAAACAACATCGCTTAAGTCATCTTCAGTGGCATTACATGGAAATTGTGAAATGTTTTAATGAAGCAGAGCTTTAATCAGGTCTTAGGAAATTCACCCACCAATTCTTACAGGAAAGTAAATATGACAAAAAAGGGTCATTAGTTTCTGCAGAAAGCAAGTTTTGATTTCAACAAAACTGAATCTTACTGATTTAAAGACAGGTTTTCACCTTACATATATTAAGTTACCAAACTTTATTGAGAGTTTTTCCATTTGAGAAAGTGCTGCTTCCTTATGCCTGTGAAGAGATAGCTCCTTACTTTTCCTTAATTATAAATTGTCTTTTGAGCAGACAAATATCATGCCCTTTAAAAGAGCCAATGATCATAAAATCATCCCCCATGAATCAAGAGGGTGTACTAAGGGGGCATCAACTTCAAGTTTATTGCCCACGTAACTTGGGAAGTCTAAAGAGTAATAAACTTTAAGCCTCTGTCAAGACTTCCCACAAATGCAAGTAAAAGTCATTAATGTAATCCACAAGAACTCTGATAAACTTTCATTTTTACTAAACATGACAGAATCTGTAATGAACTAGCCATAATTAATCCTACAGAATTCATTCTTATTTACACTACTGCAACAGAAGATATATCTGGTAAAGTCAAGACACATGAAATCGAAAAAAAAAACCCAACTTACAAAAATGTCAAACTAAGAGGCAGTGAATATGCATCAAAGCTCTAAGTCACTAATTTTGTCTTCCTTAAGTGACCTTGAACTCATTTAAGATAAAAAAACCCCACTGATCAGAGAGGTGATGTTTTTGGTTCAGCTACACTGTACTCAGGAATGTTTAAATAACAAATACATTCGAACCAGATGCTGGAAATAAAACAACTGAAACATTTCATCAGCCTTTGGGTTTTGGACAGTGATGTAACATTTGCTAACCGCTAGTGTAATTAATTGCATCATAATGAGGATTTCCAAACTCTGACAACAACAACTCCTTATTTTTCCATTTTGCTCTTTGAACACTACTGATTACCAAACAGGCCTCTCCACAGAGTTCTTCACTATGGGGCACGCACCTGTTTAGTGTAAACAACTTTGAAAGATTTATTATATGTACACAAACAGATCTACTTAAGTAGAGAGACACTGCCTATTATGAAGCAGAATCAAAGTCCATACCTGATTCAATGCATTGCAATGCATGGATTGCAGTTGTAACTACAATAAAGTTCTAATTTTAACACTGAAACAATTTTTATGAGAAAAACCTGCTCTTGTGTAACCAATCCTACCACCTGACACAAACCTTTTGCACAGAACTGGCTCACCACAAAGCCATTTCTGCAATGCGTTCCCAAAACATCATAGTTCTTTACCAGCAGCGCTTCTGATATGCTAAATCTCATGATAATTTAAGAAAATACTACTGCTGTTCCTAGCAGTAACTAGGAAAGCAAGTGTGAAAGAACCACCACAGGGCTCCAAGTGAACCCTGGTTATTTCCATCGAGCAAGTCTCAAGAGACATTTCTAAGTGAACTATTTTCAAGAGAAAACAGAACTGCTATTGAATAAACATAAATTTATTTCTACTCTAAGGCTTTGTACCTACTCAAAAGGCATCACTAAAATAACACAGAAGCATTTGCCCATTTCAGTGAACTAGTATTTTGAACTCTGCTATGTCCTTGAAGGAATTTCTCCAAGAAGTCCACTGAATAAGTATACTCCAAGACAGCTGACAGAATATATGTATATGTATAGTGATATGTAAATATCACTAGATGATGTCGGAAAGGGAAGTTCAGACATCCAACATTACATGTCAAACCTGAAACATAACGAAGCTATACAGCTGATACTAAACGTACAGGGGTCGAAACGGAACTCCCAGAAACTTGTCTGACAACGGCCCGAGTAAAGAGAACAAACGCCGCACCACACAAAAAAACTTCACCCCAGCGGAAGAGCTCTGCAGTACCCGATGTTACCGCTGCTCTCGGCCAAGACAAAAATCCAAGCCCACCTCTCAGTCGCTTTCCTAAGGCACCCGAGGTAGCAGAGCCTCGCGGCCACAGACCCTGGGGAGGTCGCAACGAGCGGCCCGAGGCTCCGCACTGAAGCGCGACCCGCTGCCGCCGGGCAGAGGAGACCGCTGAGAGGAACCGTGCTGAGCAGCGAGGCCGCGGCACAACGCCTTACCTGCAGCGGCTGCAGGCACCGCCAGTGGGAAAAGACCGGCCGGCAGCGCTAAGAAGAGAGGAAATGGACTGCAGCGGGACAGGCTTTATCCCTCTCGGGCGCGGCTACGCCCAGCCCAGCCCAGCCCAGCCCCCGCCCCGGCCGCGAGGCGCTTGCCGAGCCTCGGCCTTTGCGTGGCTACGGAGCAAGGGCAGCGCGTGCTGCCCGCAGCTGCCCACAGTCCCGTCAGCGCCCGCCGACAGGATCTGCTCCGGGGGCCGCTTTCTGCTGTGGAGGCTCAGAATGGAAAGCGGGAGGAAACAAGGACTAAAGTAGCAACCCGTGAGGTGGTGCCTGGGCTGCTGCCGCCCTACTCACCCACCTGCTCCTCTGCGCTCCCTTGCGGCTCAGCAGACCCGTGTGGGGGGCCGGCCTGCTCAATAGAGTACTTCCTTAAAACCGTAATGAGGTACAAGAAACTTTTTAGGTGCCCGACCTGCTTTAAGTACGGAGAGAAGAGTATTTCTGCGGCCGTAGGGACAGCTGCAGGTGGTGTCGGTTCTGCACGTCTCCGGTCAGGTGCTTTGTTTCTCAGCAGCTCCAGGTTTGAGGACAGTAAAGGGTGAGCTGTGTGCCTCATGACGTGAGGGCTGCGGATTGTTGAGGGCATGAGTTTCTCAGCTTTAGGTATTTCTTCTTATAAACGCTGTTCTAGCGAGCTAATATAGTGAGGAGGAGAAATGAGATGTTTATTTGTTGTTGGTGTGTTTCTTTTCTCTTAAAAGGTCAATTTCAGAGAAGCTATGGTCTGTGAAAGGAGACCATTATGAGGAGCCAAGCTCAGCTGTTCCATACGTGTGGGTTCATCTTAATGAAACTGTGTTGAAGTAATTATAGTTTGCATCTGTGGCCTGCGTTTTAGAGGTAAATGGATGTAACGAAAAAAGAATATGTAAAGTTAGTAATGTTTTGAAATGTTTCTCTCCGGCTTCTGATTTTAATTTGTTTTAGCAGGTCATTACTCACAATAAATACGAGACTACTTAAGCTGCTTCACCTAATGAATGATTTTATGAAATTTTTTGAACCCTGGAAATAGAACCTTAATGGAGATGGTGGTGTTTAGTAAGATAGTATTAGGCTAAGTGAAAAACACTGGAATATAGGATCTTACATGAAAACTTAGGTGTAGCTTTTCTCTGGGCTTACTTCTGGGCATTTTAGTAATATTCTAGTTGAAAACAAAATGAGATGATACAACATAGTTTAAAAGTCATAATATTATTTTCCTCAGAGAAGATGACTGCTGGCCCTTTAAAATCAGTAGTGGTAATTGGAAGTTCAGTTAAAGTTTTTGTAGTCAAAAATGCTTATCAAGAAAGTGAAATAATTGTATGAGACCAGGTAACCTACTGGATAAACTGGATATTGCTTGTGCTTTATGGCACACAATATGAATCGTGAATTCTGCCTGTGAACCTAAATAAGTTATTTGACCAGTTTCTCCTTAGTCGTCAATACATGAAGGTTGCCATAAGACAAAGTTGTTGCATACACTTTAGCATGATTTAACACAAAGGGAAGGCTACTGCAAAGACGTTAATTACATCTTATGTTCAGAGAGGGTCATGAAATTGATTTCTATTTTGCCTTCCAACACTGTATATTTTTTACCTTGGTAAAATAAATTATTCCATAAAAGCAGTGCACATATTAATACTATTTAAATGCATTTACAGATGCACATCAGAAATAGTGGTTATGAAAACTGTATATACCATATATACTAATTATACTTCCAGTTATTAAGACCTATCTCCCAAAATCAGGTTTTACTTCATTCCCAATCTTTACAATGTGAAGCGTTGTGTTTAAAGATACATACTTTTTCAAGTGTTGTAAATGATAAAGTTTTTAATGTAAGGTGGATGTGGTAGCATCCCAAGCTATATATGTTGGCTTTGTTTTTGTTGTTTTGTTGTGTTTTTTAATGGTTCTACCTAAACATAAACAACCCATACTTTGTATAACATTTGTGTAAAGTTTTCATTTTAATAATTTACGTTGGAAAAAGTGATTGAGCTGCTACAGAGCCTTTATTATGAGAAAAACAGAATGAACACATACTTAACAATCTACCTGCTATGGTATCAGGTGGGTTTCCATATGGAAACAAATTACACGGATTACCCTGGCTTGGAATAGTTTGAGTGAATAAGTTATGATGTTTGGACTATTCTTGAGTTGAAATCCGTAATGGATCATAGCCCAAGTTAAATGTATCACAAGTTGAAATATCACACCTGACAACTGGTAAGGAAAGGAGAACATGCACAAGGTAATTAAAGCTGGCCATGTTCTTGAGCTCAACAGAGACCACTTTTTCTTTCTGTTGAGAAAAAGGAGATCTGTGTGGACTGTTGGATCTCCACAGCCTCTCCAAGGGGGCAAGGGCAGTTCACAAATAAAATATGTACACAAAGAAAATCCTTCAATGATTTAGGCAAGGAAAAAATCTCTTCCAAAGGAAATAATATGTCTTTTCAAAAGAGAACTTTCTGTATCAAACCTTCAGTTGTCAGTTGCTAGTTGTATTCTTGGGGCATTACTTTTACATGCTGTTACAGAAGGTTTACATTCTAATTCTAGTTCTTCACCTAATTTTTGTTCTGACATGCAGACCACTTCACCTCATTTTACCCAGGCATACTTGTTTGTAACAAAAGGGCTAAAATGAGCTTTTATGAAGTATTTCTCAGATTCTTTTGTTGAGGAGGATTTATTTTTGGGATTGATGACAGTGCTAGATTCAGACATGCCATGTTGTGTTGGAGACTTTGGCACTGGTCTCTTGGGAGACAGTGTGTCAGTCTTTTATTTTCCACATCTGTAAGGTAATAAAAATGAGATTTACTTCCATTATGAAAAGCCTTGAAATCTGTTAATGAAAAGCACTTTTTTCTTTTTTTTTGAAAGAACTTTTATAATTGGAGAAATTTATGCCTACTTCTTATGACCTTGGGTTGTGTAGGTACTTGGTGAGAAAGTAGGTACTTTCACACTTCTAGTGAGAAATTCCTATTTCTCACTAAAAATATCTGCTCACTAATTTATTAATCATAGACCATGTAATAATTTCAGTCTTGGTTGTAATTATTGTCATCCAGTAATTACTTTCTCAGTCTTTCTTCATCTTCTTTTAAGCTTTATCCTCTTTTATCTGCATGAGCAACAAAGTAACTTCAATAAAATATTTATCTGGCCTCAGCAGTCAAGGTATGTTTTTGAGAAGAGTAACAGCAAGTAGTGGTTAACAACATTGTTGACAGATGTCACGTACTGAAATATGAAACAGCATTAGCTTAGATTCCATTAGGGGATAGTTGTCAAGTACTGAGAATTTATTGTATTATTTTACATATAATGTGATGAAATATTGATGAAAAAATGTCACATTTCAGGTCAGCAGAGCTTTTGTTTTGCAAAGATAAGCAATGGGTATGTTCACCGTTGGGTGTACTTTGGAGACTTAATGCTGTTGATTAAATCAGGGCTTTTATGAGAATAAAGGCAATTTTAAAATTTCTATCAGATAAAAGTGTGAGATAAGTCTATACTTGTTAAGTGCTGGAATTAAAGCAGAGCAATATTAATATAGGATTCAATCTCTTAATGTGTGTTTTACTGGATTTACAAACTACTTCATTGGTTGTAGTTTTTTTTGGGGGGGGGTTAGAAAATAGTGCTGTAGCTGCTCATTCCAACAGTAGGGTAGTTTCACAATTTTATTAATTTCAAAACATAAGTCGTAAGCACAGAATTGTTTATTTACTATAATATAAAGGAATGTAATGCACTCTTTCAGATGCTAGAGGGGACAAAGTAGAAACAGAAAGGAAAGGTAAATCTGATTGACAGCTTAATTTTGCTCAAAATATTAAAACATGATTTGTTATTGTTGAATTTCAATTTAACTATTTTTAAGCTTTTGGCAGTAACCTTCTGGGTTTGTCCTTATAAATGTTTTTGAATGCTTTTTCCTTGCTTTAATTACTCACTTCACACTTTGGCCTTGTAAATTTATCTGTATAAAATGAGTTTAGTTTTTGTTCTTTGTGGGGTCTTTTCTGAGGAAAAGTGTGGAATACTAAATTATGAATTTACTAAAGGGAACTTCTGATAATACTTTTTCCCAATTTAAAAGAGTCCTTATAATGAGTATCATGACCACACCTTTATGAGAATTCTTTGTGCTATAATACCATATAATGTAAGCAATTATGGAAGCTATATTTGTTTCTAAGAGTGCCTCACTTCTTATTTTCATGAGACAGGAGAATCCAGGAGAAAGAAATTAGCTATTCTGTCTATCTACAGAAGCAGGATAGGAAATATTTGGGTTTCTGGTAGATATGTATTTATTGTGGTTTTAGGGTATGAAGTGACTTTTCTTAAAGAAAAGGCTGAAAGTGCTGAACTATTACGGATACTTTTAGGATTAGTTATTTAAGCACTTCCTATATGCTCATTAAACAGAGGTACTGGAAATAAGGATATCTCATACTTTTTCATTTCTGCTATGGTTCCATGGCTTTTCTTGAATACAAATGTTTTCAGGTGAGTTGAAGAGAGGATTGCAATTTTAAAAATACAGGTACAGAGCACATACAGATTAAGTGTAGTCATTGAATGTCCCAGGAATGGAGAATTTTTAAAAGCACACAGAAAAGGCTTTTCTTTGCATTTGCAGTATATTTAACTAATTGTAGATTCATAAGATTACCAGGGCTCACTTGCTTAGAAAACATTCTGGTAACCTTACCTGGTTTCTTGGTAGGGACTTTATTCTACCACCTTATTTTGCATGTAGAGCAATTCCAGTAATACTAAGAAATCTTGCTAGGGTGAAGCAC